TTTCTATGCTGTAAATCAGAAATTGCCATGTAGATCAGTTTAGAGAATTCCGATGAAGGATCGTGAGAAGAATGGTGAAGTTCCATAGGGTAAATGGCTATTCAGCTAAGCTCTATTTTTTTTTCAAATCCCCTAATTTTTTCACATTTAAGTTGTATATCATTGTTGAAATGTACAAAACTGTGAAATCCTGAAAACTCCTAAGAAAGTTATTTTTGTATATATGAAATAAAAATTTAACATTTGAAAAATCAGTGTCACCTCTTATGAATCGCATTCTCATTGCACAGAGCAGGCATCACTTTTGAATGATGGCAAACTTTTTTTTTCCTCTGATGGAACAGAGGAGGAAGCTGGAGAGAGGCAATACAGTAGGCCTTTCTTGCTGTAGATGTTATAATTTTATATTGAAGAATTATGTATAAAGGGACTTTACCAATATGAAAGCATAACAGGAGTCATGGTACTTTGCACTGCGTATGCATAATTTATTTTAATTAAAACATTTAAAACCCCACTCCACTATCACTCCGAGAGTAACTTATAATAGCATTTAATAAGTGCTGTGAATATAACATGCAAAGGTCTGTGACTTCCATTGGTTTGAGGGCCACATGGCTTTGTTAGCAGAAGTGATTAGATGGAGTTCAGTAGGTTTTATTTAGCATTGTGAACACCTGAAAAACTTAAGGCAACATTTTGCCCCTTAAGTTATCCCCCCACCCTAAACAGGCTACTGCATAGCCTGCAGTTTTGGTATACCTTGCATAAAAGTAATTAAGTAGGGTAAATAAAAATGCCTTTACCACTAGAAAGATTAAAAGCACAACCCTAAAATTGGATGCTGTAGTTCCCAGCTTCTCTGCCTCACCATAAAGAAAAGAGCAGCACTTGGGAACTTGCCACATCCTTTGCGATCCTTGGCTCAAGGCTGCATAAAGGCTCTAAAGCAGTGTGTCTCACCCTTATCAACTTTAGGATCTGTGGACCAACTCCCAGAATTCCCCAGGCAGCATGCTGGCCAGGGAATTCTGGAAGTTGAAGTCCACACTTCTTAAAGTTGTCAAGGTTGAGAAACACTGCTCTAAAGGCAGGCTCAGCATTTCAGACCATGCTTGTAAATGGATTCCTGTGCTGATCATGTTGTTCAACTTGATTGCCTTAATGGTCCTTTCCAACTATTGACCTGTTTCATGGGGAGGGTATATTCCACCCTGAATCACTTGACCTCCCAAGCCAAATAAGTGACTCAACAGTGGTATATTTTGTTTTCTCTTGAATGAGTTTTATTGGTAAGTCTGCCTGTCCATCCCAAGCACAATCTCATCTAACTAAAGAACAGGCTAAATCTGGCTGGGATTAGCAGCATACAGAATGTAGACAATTCATATCTCTTCTAGTCAGCAGCTCTGGAAAGGAATGGGCAACCAGTTGATCAATTTAGACACTACCCAACTCCAGACTGACACTGGGTGACTCAACAATACAACCAAGCAGGTAGAAAATAGAAGGTAAATAGGGTATTAAAGAAAAATAATAAGATAGTAAGTCTGGCCAATAACACCCCCACACACAAACATCTGATGGGGGCCCCAACCACCATCTATCCCAAGGCCTGGAAGAGCAGCTAGGTCTTTAAGGCCTTCCAGAATGCCATCTAGGTGGGAGCCCCATTGATCTCCAGGGCAACCTCATTCCAGAGGGCAGGCACTGTAACAGAAGGCACACTTCCCAGGTCCTGATAGATGACACTGTTAAACTGAAGAGACCCAGAGCACACCAACCCTGCCAGCTATTGTCAGCCAAGCAGATACCATAGAAGATAGGTGGTCCCTCAGATAACCAAGTTTCAAGGGCAGCTCCACATAGAGCACATTTCAATAGTTGGGCTGTGTAGTGACTAGGGCATGAGTAACCATCTGGAGGGCCTCTCAATCCAGGAAAAGGTGTAACTGGCGTACCAGCTGGAATTGTGCAAAGGCCTTCTTGGCCATAGGTGCCATCTGCTCATTCAGCAGGAGCTGAGAGTCCAGGAGGACCCCCCGATTGCATCACTCTTCAATAGGAAACGCAACCCTATCCAAGGTTAAAGTTGAATGTAGACAGCAAGGACATTGACCTTGATGGAAATATGCAAAAATCATTGTCTAGGCAAAGGGGGCTGAAATAATTTGTTTTGAGAAATGATATATTTGGAAGTAGTTTGGGCAGATACCTCCCCTGATTCACTGGAGTATAAGCAGGAGGAAGTACAGCAAGATTCTATTATAGCCAATCTCAATACAAATAGCGATAGCTCTCCTATGGAGTTGATTTTCTGGTCTGGTCTATTCTGTGGGGCTGACAATAGAATATTGCCAGATCCAGGCAGCCCTAATA